AGTGAGAACAACGGACTCAATGCAAACTAAGCTTCCTCCGTAATCTGACGAGGGTTATTGAGATTGTAACCTATTGCCATCCTAGACTGTCGCATATGTGCGAATTTCAAAATCGTGCCATTACTGAGGTACTATTCCAGTGGAAGGTATAGGATCAATTATGGATTGTGATTTCTATTGCATTTTATGACTTGATTGGCTATCAAAAGGTGGGTTGGGAAGACGATAGAGTAGAGAAGAAAATTTGCATTGGTAAGGAGGTAGCCCCCTTGAAGTGGTTTATTTCTCTTGTAAGGAGGTCGCCTCCTTGAAGTGGCCATCAACTAGTGAGTTCTTGATTTTCCTGTCATTCTCGTTCAATTATTTCTTGTTATTTTCCTTCGTCCTTGCATTGTTCTTCTTGGCTTCATTCCAGATTTTGAGGAACACTTGATGTGATCTAGTGGAAGTTAAGGTGTCAGCAGGGTGACCCAATGGATGCTTCTCCCTTCATTGTCTTATCATCTTAAAATTTGAACATTCAGGATGGTGGATGAACTGTTGCAAGGATGGTGAAGAGCATAGAAACAACACTTATACTGGAATATGCACAGCTAACATGTTCACGATTAATTCAGAAGATTGATGCACCACCAATCAAAGAAGAATCGAAAGAAAAATTAGGGGAAAAAAATGAGGAAAATTTCTTAAAGTAATAGTTCAATTACAACAAGGAAATATACAACCAAAGACGTCCTCCTACTCCGACAAGACCCCTTACTTATAATGGAGGATCTAAACATGAATCCTTGGTTCAAGTAACTTTCCATCAGAACATTCACTTTCTGGAGTGTTTCTACTAGAATATTATACCTAGAATCTTCTTAGGAAATTTCCCCTTGAACTACTAGAATGCTTTATAATTTAGAAGATGTTAATATGTCCTCATATGTCCTAAGATGTCCTATTATACACCAAAATAATCTAATATATTCTAGGCTGTTCCACTATATCTCAAAATATTCTCCTGGAATGTTCTTTAAGACGTACTGTTCTAGAACTTGTTGAAATGTTTCTGATGGCCCATTACATGAGAGACAGGCGGTGGAGACGAAATGTACTACAGACATGAAGAGGAACTGACACAGTTATGTTTATACTCTAGTTCATCTCCACCATCTATTTCCTGCATGGATTTGTCTCTTATATATGTATTTGCCGGCATACACGTCGTGTGTATGCTATACTCTTCCTTTGAGAAAAGACGCTCCAGCATACACATCGTGTGTATGCTATACACTCCCTTTCAAAAAAGGACGTTCCAGCATACACATTGTGTGTATGCTATACACTCCCTTTAAAAAAGACGTTTACTTTTAGGTGACGGTTTTTCAAGGCTTGGAATTGGTTTGAGTGATTATCAATACCTTCTAAGTTTGTCAATATATGTATTATAAGCAATCATCATTGAAGACTATGGTTGAGAATATGCGCCGAAGAATGCACAAACGATACTGAGAATGCATATGCATAGCTCATTTTGTGTGCAAACCCCTGTGAACGAGATGGAGATGAATGTTTTACCTTTCAAAGGTTTGCCTGTAACAACAAGGGCTATGAAGGGAACATCCACAGACAAACCCCAACCCATACAAGAACCACTTCTTGAGAGATGATTTGAGAGCAAGGGAAGGGGTAGCCACGTGGTGCTTCTTTCTCTTGCCTCTGCAAGCATGCCACGACTTTTGCGTTCCCCATATATAGAGGGCTCTAGGCCATCAAGGTTTCTTTGTCCCTGTATATATAAGATGAGCATTCAATTAGGAAAGCCCATCCAAATCTCCAAAACTAGATTTAGGCTGGATTAGGAGTCCCTGTTTAACCTCTGACTATACTCTTAATTACTCTCCACGAGCAATCATACTGAATCATGTGAATCATCCCATGCGTCCATATATGCTGACACTTATTTATAAGAATGACTAGAATAGCCTTAGGTTGATCTACTAACGTCTAGACACTCTTATGATTGTAAGCAAGAGAGGAATAGAAAATAAACAAATCAGAAAATTAGAAATGAAAATAAATAGTCAAAGAATATTCCCTCTCTCTAGGTTTGCAAGGGAGTCCACCTTAAAAGATCTTTTTACAATACCCAAAATCAATTTTTTTTACTTTATTTGTTCTTTCGTCCAATACGTAACATATTTTTAGAAGAAAACCTAAAACTTCATAAGAAACCCAAAAGTCGCAAACTACAATTAAATCCTAGCCCTTCATTTATTTAAAATTGAACTTTCAATTCTACCCCTTAATTCTCTACAACTAAAAAATTGCACAAATATGCTAATTTAAATAGATAAAGACCATACAATCTAAATCCAATTTTAGCGTCTAAAAATAATAAAAGCTTAAAAACTCACTACACCTTTCTCTCGGAGTTGGGAGACATTGAACCTTGAGCTTTTTATGTCTATCACATCCTTCAAAGGCCATCTCAATAGTTGGCGATGGAGTCCGACTATTTGCTTGGGTACTTAGTCTTTTTTCATGAATCAATTAATCAAACACTTAGTGTGCAACTTGTAGTGGAATATTGGGATATCGAGCATATTTTTTATTTCTCTTTCAAGCTCATGAAACTCTGGAAGATCATCCTCGATGCTGAGATCATATGGACGTTCCTTGAGTTGATGTTCTTGCCTCAAAATTTACTCATTACGTATGGGATTGGCCCTTGGATTTTGTGGTGAATCTCGATTCATTCCTTGGTGAGATTTGATGCTGGATCTATGGGATTGTGGGCAACCTCTTCTTAGTGATTGGTATTTTTTAATTGTTGCAACCACTTTAATATCAGCAAGCTCTCTTCAAAGTTTGTGGATCTCAACTCGAATATTTTCCATGGCGTGATTTTATGCTCTCTTTAATTTTTTGATTAATAGTCCTCTATGATTTGCAAGAATATGTCCTTGGTCAGAAGAGCGGGGCTTTGACAACATCGTGATGGATGGATCTTCTGAAACTCTGATACTAATTGATGGATGGAGGGAGAAAGAAAATAAACTAAACTAGGAAAAAAAAATACAAAAGATGGGTGAAAGATTATAACCTTTATTTGGATCTGCAAGGGACTCAACCAAAAGATCTTTCCATCAAGACCCAAAATGAATTCTTCCTCTCTCTCTCTCTCTCTCTCTTCGTTTTTTTTTTTTGGTGCAGCTCCTTACATATTTATAGATGAGAACCCTGAAATGTAACTTACTCTTTAAAAAATTCAAACCACATTTAATTTCTAGCCTGTCATCTTCGTAAAATTGAACTTCCGACTGTACCCCACAATTCTCTTCAACTTGGAACGACACAAATACCCTAACTTAAATAAATAATAGTCTGTATAACCTAAACCTAATTTTGGTATCTAAAGGTAGTAAAAAATTTAAAAACCATTATATCATTTTACCAATAGTCTGTTTTTAGTTTTGATCCCTCCTTTACCCCCCCAGGTTTGTATTACTTGATCATAGCCTAGTGGATTTAGGTCATTTTCTGGTTAGGAGCTATCTTCCACACAATATGTATTGATTCATGTACTAGTACTTATTCTTACCAGTCTTTTTGACTATGAGTGCTCCATATGAGACATTTATAGCTGATCATTAGGCTTTTCTTGAATGCATAAAGGCACTAAAACCATTACTTATATGGTGGCATGTGTGATGCATAACAGCAATGACTGATGCAAGAGGAAATCAATGCTATTTGTCACAATGATACATGGACTCGTTGTTCCTCACGCCATTCAATTGTATGCCATTAGGACATGAATAGAGGTGTCAATGCTAGACATGGATATGAGTATTAGAAATGCTAATCTTAGACTTCACCATTCAAATAGACACATCCATATATCATTTAGAGGAAGGGAGAGGTGAGATTGTAAGTTGCATAAATTACTTCATAGTAACATTTTAATGAAAGCAGAAGTGTTAAAGTTTCTTGAGTCTCAGACGTGCCTTTCATGTCTATGGTGCGTGGGCACATGCCAAAACCCATGGAAATGTGTGTTGAGGTACAACGGTTCAATAATGTCTTTGGCAGCAAAAGAGTTTATAGGGCCAAGTGTAACTTGAATCATACCATGGGAGCGTTTCTGGTTGTTAAGGTTCTAATCAGAAATAAGGGGTGGAATTAGATGGGACTTTTAGCTTTGTGGTCCAGTCCCCTTTTATTTTGTATGGTTCTTTCTCTAGCCATATGTTGGGGATAGTAGCATTTTTAGATTCATGCTAAGACCTTGATCATCCATGGTGATCTGGAGGAAGATTTTATGTGACAACTTCCTTGATGTGTTAACATGAGAAATTCATCACCATGTCTGCTATCTTTTTTTGCTGCGTACGGTCCGAGTATTTATAGCGTGAAAGATGCATAGTATTACGCAGGCATGCAAATAATTGAACATTGAGGGGTGCATACATGGCTATGGAGTTGCTTCTCACCTTTGATATCTAACACTATTAAAATTTGTTGTGCTTATTATTTGTCTGTTGCCAGAATTGTGAGCTCTAATTATAATTTTTATAATTTGTAAATACTTATTATTCTTCATCCTTGATCTATCTATATTCTGGTTATTGAAAGAAAAAATGTGAATTCCATATATTTTCATATGGCATGGTTGCCAATTTTTTATGATTGTTTAATGCTTAGCTTTTGATGTACAGCATCTTGTAACAATTAGCTATATTATTACCCATTTGGCCAACATCAATAAAACAAAACATGATCTTTAATAGTTATTATTAACATTTTTTTTGAAGTTGACAATCTTCAGAAATTATTGCAGACTAGTTCAAGTAAATCTAGAAAGAACTGTTTTGTCAAAGGGAGCTGCTGTGCAATCATATAATCATTTTGATCTTTCTTGGTTTATTTTGGCTAGTACGGGCTGCTATGTTTGCTTCCTTTTCTTAATCATATGTTTTTGGCTCATTTAAGTTTTCATTTCACTTTTATAGGGCTTTTACAATGAAGAAAGGAAGAAACAATGTCACAGTGGATGAACTTATACATGTCATTACCCCAAAAGGAAGATGTGGGTATCAGTTTGTGCCATCTTTCTTTTTAAATTTTCTTTACTTTCTTTTTTGTCTGGTTGGTTACCATGCAATCCAGACCTGTTATTTATTTTCTATTTTTTTAATTACGGTAAATAGAGTAAAATTTGTACACTGAAGTGTTGCTTAACGAGGATACGCAAAGAAGTTTTATTCATTTAGAATGAACCATCTCTCTGTGTCAATGCTGACTTCATTGTTTTGTCATGAGCCCCAACCAATTTATTATTTGCCAAAGTCTTGATGTCAAATTTCTAGTTAATAAACAATGAAAATTATATAATAAATAAAAGGAACCTGAGCTTTGGGGCACCTGTGCTCTATACACCAAGTCAAGGGCCAACCCTGAGAGCCCAACTGTTATTTCTTTCCCACTGTGAACATTATTTTAGAGTCGAACCTTTTGTTCTACACACATTGAATAGATTTCTAACATGTCTCTACATGCTGTGGTGTAATTTTATGCAGCTTCGGTTCCAGATGCTATAAAGGCTGAACTCCTTCAACGCATCCGATCCTTTCTCATGACTGCTGCTCTTTGATCTTCCTCCCTCAGGGCATTGATGTGGTATATCTCTTATTTATAGGTATGAGAGAGATGAGGTTGAATACCCTCCAGCCAAAACAAAGAACAAAATAATCAAAAAAAGAAAAAAGAAAAGAAAACCAACTAGTTCCAGTACTGTCATGATTCATTCCCTTGATCAGATTACATGGTTTGTTTAGTGTTGGGTCCTTATTAAGTTGGTATGTGTTTAAGATAATGCTGAGGGGCTGGTTGTTAACTATTAACAGAATAGTTTTGCTTGTAGTTGATTACATTGCAATGTGCCCTTTCAAAGTTGGAACATGGCATCCCCTATAATGTGATGTATATTCCATGTCATGTTTGTTGAGATCCAAATTGATGTAGATGGGCAATACAGACTTTCAAGGTAGGTTTGCATTTTAAGGATCTGAAAATGTCTATTCAGGAGGCCATCCACTTTATAGATGGTCTCAAGTTTTAGCAGTACGTCTATGTTATCTGATAGTAGAGAACTAGTATCATTTCCTGGTATTACGAATTTGTATTGGTGCTAACTGGCCAGGCTTAGGTTGCCGCTTGTTTGGTCGGGGCCTGGCCTTGGCCCAAACTATTCATAAATGAGCTCGGGCTGCCTTCCCATTCGGTCCAATCGGTAGCCTTACTCATATGGGGCTGCCAAGAAGCTAGGTTTGGGCTGGGCTAAGGTTGGCCTGTGCACAACCTATTTAAAGCCGAGCCCTGCCCTGCCAGCCATTATACGTGGTGGGCCAAAACTGAGCACGCCTTGGAGGGCTGCCTGCGAGCAAGCTGATTGGTAGCTCTACGTATTGCACCTCTCCCTCTTGTTCCTCTCGTATCTGCCTCATTAGTTTGGTGGGCAACAGCCTAATAGAGACGCTAAAGGGTTACATGGCCACTATAATACCGAAGACAATGTGCTTCCCAATGCGTGGTAAAACGAATTTTTTTGCAAGTCTTAATTGCCTACAAATGCAATTGGACACAACAGCTAGAGTAGCAGGCAATGTGAATTTTCACTATTCACTCCCAACGGGGTACATTTGCCAACTAGTCTTTGGAGCATAAACACTATTTTTCTCATTTGAGGAAAATATCTTAGAGAAATTGAAATTTTTGTGGTTTCTCATCCTCCAAGAAGCATTGACAAAAGACATTTAGCTTTTTCTATTGACTTTATCTCCATTTTTGGGAATTTCTAAACTTCTTTTTTTGTTCTTTCTTGGGAACATCAATAGGTACCGTCATTCTTATGGGTTTTGCTCTTTTTGATAAAAGAAATCATGTGAGCTACAAATGCATGCTTCCTGTGATATCAATTACTTTCGAGGAAGACATCATTTAGCGATACATATCCAAAAAAAAAAAAATTCATTATAAGGGGATGAAATCCCTTGCAAGATATTAAAAGGGTCAAATTATTCCCTATTAATATGAGAGGGGTTACTTATTCTTTTATATTTTGATTAGGTACATCCTCTCAAAGATAAAATAAAAAACATTTACGAAAGGGTGCGGTTTGTATAGAGCTTTGGCTCTAAACAATCAAGTGATTTGGATTTGTAAAAACAAATTAAAATTAAAATACTATCAGACATATGCGATCGTTAAATCGGTCCAGATTCAATTTGATACGTAGGCGTTTATTGTAGCAGTAGGCACCTGGGCATAAAATATATATATATATATACCGACGGTTTAGATTGAATTTGGGCCGATCTGACGATTACAGATGTCCGGTAGTGTTTAAATTATAGTTTTTTTTTTACAATTCCAAATCACTTGAAATTTGTGTTCATAAAAAATAAGTGAATCTTCAAAAAATATCAAAAAAATATTTTACATAAAATAAATTGAATAACATACCCCTTGAAAAGTTTTGGGGGGGTATTTTGGTCATTTTATTTCGCGAATACTTTTTGTTATATTTTTATTAGGTGCACTTTGATGAGAAGAATTTACACGTAAAATTTCAAGTGGTTTGGATTTGTAGAAAAAAAAAAAAATTACAAACACTATTAGACATCTGTGATCGTCAGATCGGCCCAGATTCAATCTGGGTCATTGGGCTCATATGTTTATATGAACTAGTGGGCCAATTTCATCTTTTCC